GAATATATAAAAAACCATTTGCACTTTTTCTGGTACAAATTTTTTGAAAATTATAGAACATCATATTCCATCTTCTATAAACGTAAAATAATCAATTGGTTATATTAATCTTATGAGTTTTAAAACAATATATATAAAAATTGAATATATAAGCTCTCCTTACTAAAAGGCTAATATTTTTGACACAATGTATATGTTACATAGAAGTGACACAATGTAAATGCCACTTATAATCTCTCTTTGATGATCGTTTTCTCTTCTCACGTATGAAGTCCAACGTTCTAAAAATGTGATTTATCAAAAAAAAAAGAAATAAAAAGCTGAAATATATTAAAATCACAAACTGAGGTAAAAATCAAAATTTTCATATTAAAAGATAAACTCAAACTTAAATTTTAAAATCAATCTTTGAGGACCGCCTGATCGAAATATGGTGAAAACAAAATAAAGCATATAATACCTACGGCAAAGAATTTTTAAAAAATCAAAACTGATGTCGGCATCTTCCTTTGCTCGATTGAGCTCTCTTTATGCTTGAATATCATGTCCAAGTTAATCTGTTGACTACGGTGGCATCGTCCGACTAAATAAAGTTTATGCAAAATAAACAAAAAAACAGAAATACTGGATCCCATCGAGTAAAAAAAAAGTAAAAGAAAAAAGTAAGCAAACATCTAAATTTTTTGATCGACTCTTAAATCAAACACAAAGAAATTTGTATGCATTATATGAGCTTGGCATGACATGTCATAAGTGCATACTTAATTGCAAAACATTTTAACAAAAAAAAAATACTATGCTCTGGGTTAATATTTAAAAATTCGAGATTCTTTGTTGATAGGACCCAAGTTCAAATAGATAAAAACGACCTAACAAACAGAACACGTTCCAGCTTTAATAAATTAATTTTAGTCAAATTTAAAAATATGACAATAAAAAAATAGAAAAAACAAAATAAAAGAGTAACAAATGGTTTATCGTCACAATTTCCTTTTAAGTTAAAGCTTTTAATCTAACAATATTAATACATGCGTCCAAACAAAACCAAAAACATTAATTGAAATACGAGTAATGCATATAACAACAGCGCCACACAAACGAATAACTAAAAGTATAAGATTATAATATCTAAATATGAAAAATCAAAATCTAGCCAATCAAATACTAAACAAAATGTACATACAATTATTAATCTTAAAAATATAACACCAAACAAAAAATAATTAAAGAATAATCATAGCGAACAACCCCGCACAACGCGCGGGTCTCTTCTCTAGTGACACAATTTGAAACTCTTCTTCTTCATTGTCTTTCAAACTCCATCTTCTTAATTGTCTTTCAAACTCATTCTTCTTCGATGAATTCAAATGGAACAATCTCTTCAAATCCTTTAAGCCAATTTCTTGCACATATCAAGCTTGCACATTAGATGGAAGGAGTGAACTCTGATACTTGCTTAAAAATCGGCTTCCTATGCTGAAAGATGATTCTGATGCCACAGTCAAAAAACAAATCCTTAGTCGTTTTGTTTCTTTAAAAACGACTACTCACTATTACAGACATAAATTCACAAGCGGATGATAAATTCATTAAGGGTATTAAATTACCTTACAATGCCATTACAAATATAAGTTTCAAAGAACAATTTAATAATGTCATTATGGCTTAAAATGTCAATACTAATTTATAAAATTTAGTTAAGGGGGATTTGCATAGATAACCTTTTTTAAGTTATCCTTTTGTACAAATACCCTCTCTTGGTGTCCCTTTTCAAAAATACTATTCTATGTAAAAAATGACTAAATTACCCTCCTTTGGTATAACCCATGACGAAAAAAAGAATATTCTTTCCCAAAAAATAATATTATTTCCGAAAAATTTTCCGCCAATAATTTTTCCGCTAGAAAACTTTCCCTCAAAAAATTTTGATAGATATTTTCCCGCCGAAAAAATTCCCCGCCAAAAAATTTCCGACAAAAAATTCCCCGCCATAATTTTTTGGCCATAATTTTCCACAATTTCTTAAAAAACCTTTTAGAAAACCTTGTAAATATTTTTAAAACCCTTTAAAAATCCTTTCAAAACCCTTGTAAGTTTTAAAAAAGTCATCCAAAACCTTTAAAACCTTTAGTAAACCTTTGTGAATCAGTTTATAACATTTATAATACTTGTAAATCCTTGTAAACCCCTTATAACCATGGTAAATCCTTTAATAAAATCTTTTGTAAACTTCTAAAACCTTTTAAAAACCCTTTTAAATCCTTAAAAACTATTTTAAAATCCTTCTAATGCGTTTAAAAACCTTTGTAAATCCTTAAAACCGTGTAAACTTCTAAAACCGTATAAAACTCCTTGTAAATCCTTAAAAAACTCCTTGTAAACCCTTTAAAACTCCTTGTAAGTCCTTGTAATGCGTTTAAAAACCTTTGTAAACCCTTAAAACCGTGTAAACTTCTAAAACTCTTTAAAACTCCTTGTAAATCCTTTAAAACTATTTTAAATCTTTGTAAATATCTTTAAAAGTCCTTGTTAATCATTTTTAAATCATTTTAAAATCTTTGTAAATGCCTTTAAAAACCGGTATAAGCTTGTAAAATGCTTTAAAAAACCACTCAAAAACCTTTGTAAGCTTCTAAAACCTTTAAAAACCATGACAAATATTTGCGAAACCATTTAAAACCCCTTGTAAATCCTTTAAAAGACCCTTTAAAAATAATTGTAAACCCTTTAAAAAATATTTGGTAAGAAATTTTAGCGGAAAAGTTTTTAGCGAGAAATTTTTGGCGGGAAAAGTTTTGGAAGGAATATTTTTTTTGTTAGGGGTAAAAATATCATTAAAATTTAAGAGAGGGGAAAATGAAAAATGGCAAAAAAGAGAGTAGTTTTGCAAAAGTGTATTATAAAAAGTTTATTATTGAGAATTCCTCTTTAATTGAATTATATAAAAAATACATTTCTAATTTTTAAATAAAAAAGAATAACCAATCAAAATGAACAATATTAAATTATTATTAGTCATTATAATTCTTGTCTCATCATTATATGATTCCATATTTTTGAAACAAATTTATATTATGAATATAATAAAATCAAAATTATATGTTTGTATTTTTAATTATTTGTTTGTGTTTTGATTTTGTAACTTTTCTTTTTAATTATAAACCGAAAAACATTCATGACCAATTATATAGAATACTTTTACTAATATAAACCCAAAAAAAAACAATATATTGAAACTAAACACATTAATATTTATCACAATTCTACAATCTAATACATAGATAATCTATGAAAATCACTATCAATAAGAGTCGGAAAATGAGGGCCAAACATAGGCATTATCATCGGAAACGGTGATGGAGGCGGCGGCGGTCTATAGAGACCTATCATCAACGCTAGATCCATCTGCGGTTCACGGAGCTTAATACGTTCCGACATAATTCTATAGCTGAATCCGTAGACAAATCCTTCGGTTTCTTCTACATTGTGGCATATGTTAGCCATCTTAGAGAAAACCCTTGCTGTCAATTCACTATCAGAACCGGCGTGGTGAGCTATACCAACCCGGTTAAGTCCCAACTCACGTGCTAAACTCTCTAAACCAAGTCGGTTAGAGAATCCTTCGAACCGACCAGCCATAGCTTTCAAATCGTAAACAGAGCCGAGGATCCTCGCCACCGCTTTAGCAAACCTAGATTGAGATTCCGGTAAAGCTTCTCCGGTGAAACACTTGAGTAGATAAGCGATGTCGTAAGATCCATGAAAAGTCACCCAAGTAATGTTCCTCGTCTGCTTCAGAATCCAAAACAGGTCAGAGAAGAAACCCTCGATTCCGATACCGTGTTCTCTAATCTTCTTCAGATCAAGACCATTGCGTTTCAAGAACTCGATGGAGTTGTCGTTTCTCTCGTCTTGAGTCTCGTCGAAATCTGAGAAGTTGATCTCCCAAGTGCCACCGACTCTTCCGTTGTTGTCGAACAGAGTAAGACCTAACTGGATCAGCTTTGTTCTGTCTACGCTGTAACTCATGTCGATGTAGCGTTGCTCGTCATGAGCGTTTTTTGAAGTGTCCCTCAAGCAACCTGGAAACTCAGTATCAAACGCGATGAAACTGTTGTTTCTTAGACAATCTTCGATCAAACTCATCTCTTTGTTACGATTCCAAGCCCATACTTCACGACATGGTTTAGCTTTGATCTCAGACATCGTGTTTTGTTTTTGGTTTGATTTAACGAGAGAGAGAGAGAAACACTTAGTGGTGAAGGAGAAGAGAAGAGAAGAGACAATAACAGAGAAGAATTAGGAAAATAATGTAATGGAGACGTGGGACTCAAACTGTATATATAGATTTTGGAAAAAGGAATTTTCCTTTTTTTTTTCAAGTTTGGAGATTTTATTTATTATTACCGTTTTTTTTTTTTCAGATAATTACATGCACTTTTCAGATATTTGTGATAACAATTTCTATTTTTATAAAACAAGGTTAAACGAATCCAGGAAGGTTCCAAATTTTTTTTTTTTTTGTTACCAATGGAGATTTTCCTTATCAGCTTTTATAACATTTTAGACATTGTTATTTATTTATTTGTTTTTTCAATGTGTGTCATTACTTTTAGAGCCTTTGAGTGTCATTATATAGACAATGTTGCAAACTCAGATTATTGTTTTTTTTTTGTCTAAATTTAAACAAGAATTAAACCTATTTTTCAACATATTTCATCACTAGTTATCTTAATGTGATAAGACTCAAAATGTTAATAGAGGTTGAAATCCAAAATTAAACGTTTTATCTTTTTGTTTCTTTAAAATTAATTAAGATGAATGGTTCTATTCAAATCTTGTTTTAGATATATATCTTGTAGGTAAAGCTGCGATTGGGTATAGCTGTAATGTTAGTACGATAGAATTTAGCCTATAATGTATTCAATTGTTCATTGTGTCTACAAATTTAGGCAGTCATTTATCCTAAAAATGAAATGTTTCTTTTTTTTTAATAAATTGTATGTTTCTGATTCATTTTGATATCTATCAATTGCAAAAATTGAAGATTTCATAGACATCAGGATATTTTTCGGTACAATTGATTTACGAAAAAATTTACTATTTTTTTTTAAAACAAATATTGCTATCGAACAAACCATAGAAGTGTCGGTATATCTTTTTATTTTTTAATATATTTGAAAGGCTCAAAAAAAATATTTTCTTTCAAATTAGCGACTTCTGTTTAATTACAAACTAGGATTTATCCCGTGGTACACCACGGGTCCATAATATAATATATTTGCTTGATTTATTATTTTTGTAGTTGGTTTATATACTATAGTTTTATACGTTTTTATATTATTTTAATTTTATATTATTTTATGAATTTGTATAATAAGTAGACTCATAGATATATGTGGTCAGTCCGTGATACACTTCACAAAAAAAAAAAAAAACTTGCAGTACACCGCAAGATGATTTGTTGTAAATAAAAATTTATATTTTAACTTAACTCGTAAAGCTTTTTTAATATACACAACCCGTAAGAAACATATAATCATATTTATATAAACTCAAAACCTTTCATTCATATTTATTTATAATATTATTATATTTGAAATATTTTGAGTTAAAATATTAATAATATTTTAAATTTTTGTCGAGTTTAAATATTTTTAATATTTTAAATATTCTATAAAACTTTAAAATTTTAATTTGGATAATTGAGAATTCAAAGTTCATGTTCATTTGAAATTGTGAAAATATTAGTACTATTTATAATGGGTTTGAGCTATCTAATGTTTTACCTTATAGACGTTGTACATATATTTTTTCCTTTATCGTTTGAGTTATATACGCCCGTTTTCAAAATTTTAAATTGCAAAATGTGGGGAAAAATTTTGTATTTTTATTATAAATATATTTTATGTAATAATATAAATTAAAAACAAATAAGATTACATAAATATATTGGAGAGATATTTGATTTATTAGAGAGAGACATTTTTGGAAATCTTATTGTTGTAATAAATATTTGTTTCCAATTTTACAATTTGCTTGTGATTTAATTACAAAATTTACTTTTAAGTTTTGTTATTTATTCAATTGGCAAGGGTTTGATTATGCAAATATTATAAAATAAAAGGTTATAAACCTAAATAGATTTTAGTACCAAATGTACTTCAAAAATGTATATATAGATATAACAAGTATATTATTATGTATATATATAATAAAGGATATATCGAGAAGACTCTGCTTTGACTAGAGTTTCCTGCTAGCTTTGAAGCGACACTTATATCGAATAGATCAGCAACAAAGTAAGAGAACAATGAACCCCTAAATCTTTGTTAAAGTCTTCAGATCGTTTCTTTAATGCGTCGTGGCTCTTTACAGTGGATACTTGACGTAGGAACGTTAACACAACTCAAGCTATCAGACTAAGCTCATGGAGAGATAGAATGAAGCTATGAGTAGTTCTTTTTTTTCTTGTAAGAAGATCAATGACTTCAGAGTTCAGGCCAGAACAGAGGCATGGCTGGTGTTTGTCTATCTATATTTATATTAATAACTGTCTATATGACTAAGTGTTATAGATGAAGTATCTCGTGTAATGTTGGGTTTATAAGTTTTTTGTTTTTAGATTTAATTTGTTTGGTTTTATTTTTGGACTTGAAGATATGGTGAAGTAGGTGATGCCAATCTTGTTCGACACTCTAAGGGTTTTTGCATATAAGTTTCACTTTTGCTGTTGGTTAGTATATATGAGTCTCTCTCTTGCACAATGGTTTTCATTGACTCTGATTTAGCCCTAGATAATCTTAATGGAGCTCAGATGTTAAGCAGCAAGAAGAGGGTGGAGAAACGTAATGGCAAAAGAGAGAGGCAAGTGGTGTTTTCCAACAACGATCAAATTGATCAATCCTTCTCTTATGGTCGTCCTATTAAAGGATAAGACAGCTACAAAATGTTTTGTGGTGGAATGTGAAGCATTCAGAGTTATAAGGCATCACAACTTTGTGAAGTTGGTTACTGTTTTTTCCAGCGCTGACTTTGAAGAAATGATTTTAGAGCTCTAACTTCCGAGTTTAGGCCTAATGGATTTGGATACAATGGCTTCACCCGGATCGAATAATCCGGTAATATCCGGTAATCGGCCAAACCGAACCCAAGAAAACCAAACCGAACCCAAGAAAACTGAACTGAACTGTCTAGTTCGAAAACCAAAGTTTTTAAATGATTGAATGGTTGTAAAATTTCATATCCAAATTAACATGAACCGAATAGAACCAATAACCAAATGGTTAATCGAAATATCCAAGAGCCAAGAAAATACCCAAAAATAATACCCAAAATTATAATTATAAAGTCAACAATATTAATTGTTTAGAGTCAAAGCAATCAAATATTTTAAATAATTAACATATCCTAATATTGTTAGTTATATTAGTAAAAAAAAATATAGTATTTTTCAAAATCAAACCATGGATGCGTGTGATCGAACAACAAAATCCAACTACTTCCGTGGAACCACTAGTACAAAACCCTAATCTTGATTCAGAATCTTCTCAATCTTCTTGCGTTAGAGATCGATACAAAGGGAAAACGTCCCATTGAGGTGGAAGATATAAGTTGCAAGAAGATCAAAAGCCGTCGTGCATTAGAGGTGGAACCCATTCAGATTCTTCCACCGGAGTGGCTTTTGAAAGTTATGATGAGAGAAGAGAACAGCTACAATCCGAAGCTCATCTCAACGAGGCACGCCTCTCAGTCCCTTTTAGACACGTGAAAGATCCAGAGTTCTTGACACACAAGGAATTAATAATCATACATGAAAATGCGATGAAGACTCGTGACAAAGGTGCGAGTGTGGATTTGGTGGATCCTGACATGAAGAAGCATGCATGCCCTTGAATTGACGAAGTGGAAAATGAGTGTATTGACCATAACCTCTTATATATTATTTAAATCTAAAAGAAATGAGGATAAAATAACAAATTAAGTAAAAGATATATAAAGTATAGGCAATATAAAAGCAATAGACAAACAAAAAATTTGGTAACAAAAACTGTAAGTTAAATTTGAGATTTGAAGTGATTATTAACTACCAAACTACAAAGAAGAAATATTATATGATGAAATACGGTAAAAACCTAATTTATGTGAATGCAGTTATATTATGTTTTGGTTTTTGTCGTCCGAAATACTCATCTAAACATTTACAAAATATATATGTAATTATACAATTTATTAATACCTTTTGAGTTTGGTAAGGCGATTAACTTAAAAATATGGATTAATTGAGATTATATTGTTTCATCTCTACCTTACGTTTAATTTTTTTAAAATATATTTCATGTTAGCAGATAGAAATATAAGTACAACAATTATCAACTAACATATATATCAAGTAAAAATAATTACTTTATCTAACAATATATTACAAAGGAAATTAAACTCAAAATTATTAATATTGCACATTAAAAAATAGGTAATAAATGAATCAAAATAAAACTTGACATAATAAATATATTAAAACAAAAATATATATTTTAGATTTACGTTATAGCTTTATGAATGATGTATATGAAATAATAATATTTTCTTAAATAATACTTCAAAGTTTTTGACATTAAATTTTTGCTTCTTTTTATCTATTAAATGTATTCCATTCATTGCCAACAACAATATATATATATATATAAGATAAGATTTTAATAGTTATCACCCATCGTTTATAATTTTTACTTTTCCTTACTCAAGCAAATTAAAATCCACATGAATGATACAAAAAAAAATATTAATAAAAGAACATTTATGTGAAAACAAAATAAAAAAGTATAGTACACGATATTTCAATGTATATTAAAATTACTAAGCTCAAAAATACTAAACAAAGATTACTAAGCTCAAAAATATATTAAAATTTTAGGGTTCACTCTATTATTCACTCTCTCTCTTTTCTAATTAATTAGAATTTTCCATCTAAGAATACCACATGAAGGCTTCGATCTCAGAAAAATGGTTCACTCTACTATTTCCATCTAAAAAAAATACATGGGTTTATATCTTTGCAATTTCACCAATGACGACCAAGTCACTGGATAAGTCCTCTCCGTCACCGGAGAGACTTTCAGAAAAAATACCCTCAAGAAATGTAACATTTTGCCAAAAATATAATTTATCTTACTAATATTTTCTTAAATTTCTATAAAATTTTACATGAATTATATATGAATGGTAATGTTAGTCAGTACTCAGTATATAAACTTTCCTTTTTGGGATGTAATTCTCTGTTGCTACTTGCTAACGAAGACAGTACCAAATTGAGGATTCAAGAGTGTGACTTTGCAACGTCACTAAAGTAACAACAAAACGTGGCAAGTAGTGTGAGTTGGTTTTGGGGGCGAATTTGAATCATTTTCTTTTTTCCTTTAAGCATCTCCAAAATTAAGCTTTGTCAAAGTTTTTTTTCTTTCTTTGGGAACAAAAAAAAAAGCTTTATAAAAGTTCAAAAATAAGAAAAGCACTTTTTGTTATCCAGAAAGAAATAATTAGCTTTTCTCAAATGTAATTTTCTCTTATTTTAAATGAATTATAGATCTCATTAAAAAAAAAAAAATTCCAAAGTAAAACAAATCATGCGTAGTGCACCATGAAGGTGTGCAAATGTCACATACATGACCACGATTTTCACCACTCACGTGTATTAAGTCATCAGTATGTGCATGAGAACATAACTAATGTACCAAAGTGATAAAAGAAATGTTCCATGAAGTTCAAGTTTCAATAAGTAAATATTTTTTCTCGTTTGATCTTTTCAATAAGCAGAAGTTTAAACTATAATAATTATAGATTTTTTAATCGGTTTCAGAATTGAGGATTTACAAAATAGATTTACTTGGGAAATTCGCATTGAGCTGAAAAAGAGAAGACAAAAGTCTTTTTAAGTTAGAAATTTAGTTGACCCCAAAGTTATTTACTTACTACCAAGTGAATATATATGATCTTGTCATGTCCCCAAGAAACATGATCCAAAATTTGTGCAAAGGCCACCACTTCAAAAAATCAAAGTTTTATTTCTTTCCAAAATTCAAGAAATATTCACAAACAATGCTGGAAAGGATCAATCAATTGTTATTGGTGAATGCCGGTAACTATAGTTATTAGACAATGGAGAAAATAAAATGATACTCAAGATGCAATTGTTTACTTACAAGAAATCTTGATTTACTTGTTTTTTATTATAGCTTAGATATATCTTTAAGTGTTTGTCCAAAAAAGAAGATATATCTTTAAGTTGAATCGAAATATATATTTTAAAATTCAAAAAATGTACTATTTAGTAGATAAACGAACATTCTTTAATCTAGTTATAATTTTATTATGTATGAGATATATATAAAAAAAACTTGTTATTTTTCACGTTTTATTATTTAACGATTTGGTATTAACCGGAATCCCGTTTTCACAATGTAAAAGGCAAAAGTACTGTATACCTTCAAGGCCATAATTATGTTGAAATATTGGAAAAGCATATGAATTTCACAAAAGTTTATTGAAAATATAATTTTATATTTCCAATGACCATATTTACATAAGATCATGTTTTTAATCAGTACAACCAAAAATACACTTTACGAAAATGCGTTTGCTTATTTTTATATTTTTATATTTTATAATCAATTTGGCTTTTATTATAATAAAAGAAAAAAGGAAGAAATAGAAAACTTATATGGAATGGACCTAGTAATTATTATGTTAAACTGAAATCCGAATAATACAAAATGCAAATACAAAAAAAAAAGAGATAATTCTATATGAATAATAATAATAATATTTTCAAGAATTTTACTTTAACTAAAAAAGCACAACAAAAGTGGTCTAGTCTCTCTAAAGAAATAATGATGATTCCTTTGCTTAAACGTCAACAGCACATCTCTGAACAAGCTGATACTTTACAGCCGGACCGTCACCGGAAAAATGTCCGGCGAGCGTAATGTACGCCGGACAATTGATGTGGAGGCGGTACCTACCGGAGATCCACGTTCCCACTTTCCACCTAACCCAACCGTCGATCTTTATATTCAAAAGCACCATCCCCGCCGTTAGATCTTGGCTCAACGCTGGCGAAAGATATGGTGCCACCGGCACGGTTGTTCCGTAAAGAAACGGCGACCATACCGTTACATCGAGGTGGCCTTGGTAACTCGCCGGCAATAAAGTCGCCAATGTCACCTTATAAAACATTATGAAATATAAAACGTTACATGCAAAATCAAGATTTAATACATACGTTGAGATTGGTCTTATATAGTCTACACCAAGATTTCGTCGGTCCATTAGTATTTGGTATTATATAGTTTGTATAAGATGAATCTTTGTAACATAGAAACTATATTATTCGTTGGTACATTCTTTATAACACTTCTTTTTCTAGTTAAGTAGTAATCGAAACGCGAAACGCTAATTTCAAACCGCTAATATTTTAAAAATCAAGAATACCTGTTGGTTGCGGTAAGATGCGTAAATGTCAAGACGGTCATAGAAGATTCCGATCTTGTCATTAGGATTGCGAGAAGAGAGAGTGACCTGAAGATTAGAAGTGAGATAGTTTGGCTGAGAGATGTTAAACGCGTAAATTGTCGCGTCTTGAAGAACAAATCGCGGTCCGTGCGGGTGAAGAATCGCCCAAACCAAGAAAACAACAAAGAGAACAGCTGCAAGAAATCCAAGAACCACCGCTCCTATGCGTTTCCGCATTTTCTCATCTTCATCATGGTGATGCTCACATTCCTTCTCTGTCATTTCGGCTGTTGCGTTTAGCGTTTCGCAGCGGTTAAGGATTAGTGCGTTGCGTTGAGAGACAGAGAAGTTGATGTTTTGTTATAGAGAAAGAAAGAAAAAAAGATAGAGAGTTACTATGGAGTTGAATGGTTTAGTAATACATATATAGAGTCATAGAACAAACGGAGCCTTTGTGATATGATAAATTAATGTTTATTGAAAAAAATTATCATTGCAAATGCGAAATGTGTAAGGTTTTTTTTTCTGCTCATTTTATAAATTTTTTTATATTGTCAACGATTATAATTATTAATTCATGAAAAAAACCAATATTCTTGTACTTTAGTTTGTTCGCTTTTAAACTTTTTTCTTTAATGCAAAATTAAGGAACATGTTTTTATTCCTATCAAATTTTTTGCATGTAAGAAGTTTTATTACAGATGCAATATTTGTAGATTAAAAAGCTTCAACCACTGTAAAGCACTTTTTGGAGTGGGTGAAGAATCTTCTTTCCGCAGCATCGTAGCAACATTATATAAACAAAAGTGTAATAAAAAAAAAATAATATACGAATCGAAATAACCCAATTCAGTAATGCATAAACTCTAGTTAAAGATTTGATTTTATGAAACTAAAGAGTTTATAATGTAACTTTCACATTTACTAGTCGTAAAAACTTAGGTAGTGTCAAATGAAGTGGTAGCTTGAATATAACTAATTACCTTTTGGAGGGATATAATGAAGACTTAGTAAAGAGGTAATGTGGTGGGTGAGACGAAACATAAATTATATGTAAATCTATTTATTTGGTGATCACGTCAATTTAGTTAGGAAATTTATATTTTGGTTTTTAAATAATATTTCCAAACAATTTCATGGTGTGAAAATGGTTAAAGATTCATTCTACTATTTATTGGATCAGAGTTTGAATTCTTCCACTATGATTTCAATTATGTATATTTGATTACTATTTACCCGTAAGAATTGACATCAAACGAGATCGAATTTAGAATGAAAATTCTTGACGAGAAGAATGTAGCATTTTCAATAATTTTAACCGTGAGTTATACACGCAACATAATTTTACATTTTTTCTAACAATTTTTAAATTTACGGAATTATGAATTTGTGTTTTTCTACCAAATTTACGAGCTCATATTTTTTCTTAGGAATTAGGGAACAACTTTTTCCGCAAAAATTATTGAATTATTTTTTTTTGAAAATAGTAGAAACGTGTTTTCCGCAAAAACTACGAAATCACATTTTTCTGTTTAATCGCGGAATTTGTTTTTCGCGTGAAAATATCAGATATAATAGTTACAATTATTTGAGTCTTTTATTTTATTTATGAAGATATCATACATTATATAATAATAATATTTAATCTAAATACAGTCTAAATGGATACCCATTTAACTATAGTAAACCCCATTTAACAAATGCCTAAATGGGTCTATTACAAATGCCCAAATGGATATAATTGGGTAACCTATATAACTATAACGTAGACACTTAATTTCATGTTTAAGTTTTTTTTTTAGATAGTTGTAAGAAAAACAACAGTACATTTTTAAAAAGCTTATGTATGTATATGTTTGAGCATATGTATATGCAGTTCTATTAATTGATTTAGAGTTTAACATAAGCCAATGTTTCTTTTGTACCATCGAAGGCTTGAACCAAGACCCTGGGCGAAGACATTTCTCCCTAGAAATCAGGACCTCATGAACATAATGAAAACGTTGGACACTTAAAACAGTGTTTTTAAAACACACCTTTTTGTAAATAACTCTTTTTGTGTCTAATTAAATACTCCCTCTGTTTTTAAAAGGTTGATGTTTTGGTTTTTTCACACATTTTAAGATATATTAAATATTTGTTTATTAATTAATTTATAATTACTTTTTGGTAGAAAGAGAAAATCATAAAGTAAAAATATAGTTTTAGTTTTTTAATCTACAAAATCAATCTTTTTTAGAAACAATTTTTTTTCCCAAAACATCTAACAATGGGAAACAGAGAAAGTATAAATTAGGCCTGGGCAAAACAAATCGGTACCAATTACCCAAACCGACCAAAAATTGGTTTTGGTTCGAATTTAGATACTTTAAAATCACCGATTGGATATTATTTCTTTTAAAAGTGAGCTTCGGTTCGTTTTTGGTTAGTAACCGACATAACCGAAATAAAGCTATGTATATATAAATAAATATACCGACATTTCCTGTTCTCTCTTCGTCTTATCTTCAAATTTTTAGGTTTTGTTCATTATTCGTTTGGTTTTTATTTTGATTATATTTCGGTCACCATTGATTTTTTTGGGTTTATTCGGTTAACCAGTTTTAATTAGTTAATTTGGATTAAAAACCGAACTGATACGAAACCATGGTTATTACGGTAATTTTCAGTTATCAATATAATATTCGAACCAAAATTCCTAAAATATCCGAATGGTTATTATATTACTATATCCAAATTAACCAAACCGAAAGCAATCAAACTGAAACTGACTGGTTAACCTAATATAAGTCATCGCTAAATAAGAGATGATAAATGTTTAAGTAGGCAATTCATTGTTAAACAAATAATCCATTGCTATTATGTTGTAATATTATTATTTTTTAGTTCAGAACATTGATTCTAACTGATGGAGTTCATATATATACATAACTTATAGTCATAAAACAAGTTTTATCTCATCCGCCGTAATGTTGACCCATGAAGAATTTTTCGTATGAATATGCCTGGTTGAAACATCAGAAAATAATATAAACATATGTATTATATAACATCAGAAAATAATATAAACATATGTATTATATAACATCAGAAAATAATATAAACATATGTATTATATAACATCAGAAAATAATTTAAACATATGTATTATATGAATGTCGTTATATAAAAACAAATAAATTCGAATATAAAAGTTCATTAATTCATTGTTAATTATAAAGAAAAAAGCTAATAAACAATCCATTATAAATTTTAGTGACCAAATTTTTAAATATATTTGTAGTTATATATATAATATTTTATTTTTACAAGATTTATAAATTTGGTATTTCAAATCATGATTTACAAATTTGAGGAAAAATAAACTTAGCTTCAATATTATACAATGGAAAGGAATTTTTTTGATCTAGTCAAATAAATTTATTCTACAATTGAAATATATTTATTCTACGATGGAATGGAAATTTTTGATCTATTCAAACAAATTTAGTTACGTACAGATTTTTATGGATCACCATACAAAAGATATGTCACTAACTAGCTAGAGTTTTCTTATATATATATATATATGGATCACCATATATATATATATATATGTGTGTCAGTGACTCAGTGTGATTATACCATGAAGCCAGAAAAAAACTTTCTTTGGATAGAAAAATCAAAAATGTCGTCATTTAAATTTGCTATCTTTTGTATCTCCATTCTTTTTCTTTCTAGTCTTTATGAATGTACGTAAATCTTACATAATAATAATTATTATTATTATCTTTTTAAAGTATTTTATTCATGTTCTTTCATAGTCTTTTAAATATTTTATTCTTCATATGTATGTTTAGGTACAAGAATGGAAGATTTTGAGGCAAGCAAGATAAAATTCCCACCATGCATGCCAAGGTTGCGATCACAATGTTATAACAAAAAAAGATGTTATTGTTGCGGCAATGTTTGTGCAGAAAACAAAGCAGCTTGTGAGTCTATACCTGGCTGTAAACCATGATCATCTCTTTCAAAGATTTAAGATTTATCTACTATGAGTGTTAAGTGAGTCTATTAATTATATTTATAGTATCTGGATACTTTGAAGGTGTATGTGCAAGTGTCAACAGCTATGGCTATTCTTATTTTATTTCCAACGAACAATTCTCAAAACTTATTTTTCTCTAATTTATATTAACATTTTTGAAGTACATTTTGGGTTATAACCTTTTATTTTATAATATTTTCATGATTAGTTTCTTACAATTTGAATAAATAAAATAACTTTAAGGTAAATTATGTAATTAAATCATAATAAAGTAGCAAAATTAGATATCATTATTTATTAAAGGGAATTTGCACTTCATAAGCCCAGTTGACCGATTTATTAAATATCTACCTCTCATCTTTCATTATTCAACGGGCTCTCTATTTTGCAAGACGATTTTAACCCTATTAGCAAGTCGAAGAGAGTAAGCGAATCTTTGTAGAGAACACATAATAAGATCTTTGTGATTGATTTTTTCCTTTCTCGATAAAATAAAAAGAAAAAATGGTTTTTGTATTTCAATTTATCGGATACCGAATAAGTTAGCATGGTAAAACTTAATTTATCAAATATTTAATAACTTAGCATATTAACATAAATATTATGCATATAATAATTATCAGAGCTCGTGCAGAGAATCATCATTATTTTTATTTTTATTCCCAACACAAAATAAGGACTAGTGCGTAACTTCACATGTACAGAAGAAAGAGAACTAATTATAATTTTATTGAGTTCTTACTTTTTGTTTTCAATTCTAACATGTCCACACTTTTAACAAGCCCTTTATCAAATTTAATAAAATTTCCTAAAATCTTTCCTTAATAAATCAAATATTTCTCCATTATCTTTATATGATTTTATTTGTTTTTAAAATTATATTATTATATAAAACATATGTATGATAAAAATATAATTTTTTTGCATATGTTGCAATTTTAATTTTTGAAAACGGACGTATATTACTCAAACAATACAAAAAATGTATGTACTAAAGTATTATTGATAATTGTGTAGCACGGGTTATGTTATGGAGCGGGTTATATTTTATATAATTATGATTATAGATATTTTTACGGGTTGTCTATTATAGTAAAAATCACAAAATATTTTAATATGAAATTTGACTATTTAAACGAAACATGTTATGCCAACATCATTTCATTGTTTTGAATATTAGACTGATTTAATTAAGTTGATCAAATTACCATTATATAAAAAAAATTGTCATGAAATATTTCACGGTTTAAATCATAGAATTAACAATCAAAATAAAGTAGTACAAGCTTTTTTTCAGCATGTAGTACAATCTTATATACTAAACACAATTAATAAAAAACGTTTTAAAATATTGTTCCACGGTATACCGAGGGTTAAAATCTAGTTGGCTTTTAAAAACTGAAACTATATTAGTGTGCTATTTTTA